TTTGCTCGCATTTCACGCCAGAGCATCAGCACATGACTAAGTGGTTAGGATAGAATGAAGAGACACTTTCTGATTTTCTTTGGAAGCAATGAGTCAGTGTTTATTCGACGACCCTGACTCACTCGTACGGACACAAATTCGGTATCAAAAGGTTGAAAAACTGGATTTGTAAGGTACAATAGCATTCTGATTGAACGGCCATTTGTAACATTTAAGTAAAAGTTTCGGAAACTGTAAGATAAGTTTTACTTAACTCCTAACTCACAAACAGTCGTGTTGTCCCTCATTAAACCTCGGGGGTCATAAAGGTCTGTGCGATCAAAAAATGTCTGTAAAAGCTTCTTAACCTGAAAAGTTAAATCAAAAAATGTGGAACCGTGAAAAGCAACTGCCTTGAGGTAGAAAGAAGATCAGTTTTTTCCTAGCATAAAGGATCCCGCGTCTTCGATACGAAGTTCTTAAGGTGATGCGAACCAGATTAGCCCCTGCACAATCTCACTTTATTTATGCAAAATGCTTAGTAAACTCACCCATGTGCAAACACTTTGGGTCAATTAAGGGATTTGTTGTGGAAAGTGGTATGTGAGATTCTGTCCGAGTTTGACTAGATAATTACAGGTATTTTCGCTCATCAGACCATGGAGGACGTTTTTAGCGCATCTGTCAACCTTAATTGTAGCGTTTGCAATCACAGAGCGGTGTTGTCATTTTGAAATGCGCTAGAATGCATGGGATGAGCGATAAAATTTCTCTGTTTTAATCTCTACGCCACCATCCATACAAAAGCACCGCAAAGCTTCCATTCCCCCTTTAATGAGGAAACTGTACATTCTGTAACTCTGCCCGTCTGTTAAGGCGTGGAGACACGATTCAGAAGTCCAATCTTCCAAATGACGAAATGGTCAAATTATGCGCAAAATTTCATTCCTTTGCGCCAACCATTAAATTTGCAGGAGTGAAAGCACCTCCCAACAGTCTCACGGAAAAGGCACAAAACTCCGAAAATAGGGCACACAAGAAAAGGCGCTTTCAGGTTGAGTGTAGACATACTTAGCGGTGTGCTGATACTAGTGTTGGCGATTGACAGGTTGATGGGTTAGTGAGTCAGTGAGGGGCACTTTTGATTAGGCACTGTTTTTATGAATAAGCTGTTCCAACAAAGAACCTGAATTATCTGTCCTAACCAACGGTGCTTTCAAGAAATCCAAATGCAAAATACTTCCTTTGTTTGAGCATTGACACTACGATTTGGAAGCATGGAAGGGTTGGAAGTGCCGCATCACCAATTAAGGAACTAAAATCCCAATTGCTGAACGGTTCGCGTATTCAAACACAAAATAAAGATGTGCATTATTTCGTCTCACAGCCCTTCTCCATTTAAGCGTCTCTTTCGTTCCCGCCCCATGCCTATCATTCAGGCTCGATTACCACTGTCTGGTTGGCACTTATTTTAACAGAAAATAAAGCCGTTTCGTCCCCAGCGTCAGTTATGTCTATCGTCAATTTTATAGTGTCGGAATTTGCGTTCCCTTTTTGAGAATTTACTGTTCAGGGAGGGACAAGGGCCAACAATACGTAAATTCAATGCGTGCTAATGGCTCTTTGTAGGTTGATTTATCGTACGATTGAACGTTTTTTTGAGACCTTTTAAAGAGATTCTCTTTCCTCTTTTAGACTAATTTTGTCCAATTATTTACACCCTTTCTTTATTTTCTTTCTGCAATTTAAACACCATCACGCAAATTTCGTGTCTGATTACATTGCAAATGTTTACTCATATTCGTTGTGGTGTCATTTTGGTCACTGATCATCTTCTTGCAGAGCATGTAATGGATGTTGCCTCAATACCCTTTCCGTTGTACATTTGTAAAAAATCAACCCATTGCAGCAGGCGGCCTCCTCCCTTCCTTGAGGTCAACGTTTGCGTGGTCTTTGGGTTTATATTCGACTGTTACTGCCATTTATGCGGGACTCGAATGATTTCAATAGGCGTTATAAGTCGTAGTAGTACTGAGAGTGGATTATCCACTTTCGGTTGAGCTGAATAAGAAGCGCATGCCAAACGGGACACTGATTAAGGGCACCTCATGGTGGATTGCAATTTTGAATAATTTTATTTATATGCAATCAGTTTTGGGTGGAGTGATTGTTACAATCGAGAGGTATGCAATGCAGGTATGTAGCCAGTCAAATGCGCTGAAACACAAAAATTGACACCGAATAGACAGTCCCTTCGCCTGATGTCTTACCTCCCAAAGGTCACTTCGGCCGGTGATGAGGTAAGGCAACAGGAGGCAGGTCAGACATATTCACTGCTTTTAACATAACGAGAATTGCAATTCCTCAGACTTTTTCGACAGTGGCACAAAGGGATCCAAACATCCAACCTCACTTCACAACCGTTTTGCTGATGACGCTCGAAGGCAAACACAAAGATTTTAATGATGCCGCATTGAAAGGAAGTTTGAAGTGCAAAGTTTAACCTCATTCAACTATTTTATTCAAGGTACTATAACACAGAAGGTACTTTCGTTGAATCGAAACATTTACTTTTTGTAGGTATTGCTTAATGCTTCTTAATCGTGTCTGCTAGATATTCTACTACAGTCCATTGGACGAGGGTTTCGAGAGAACAGAAATAATAACTCACCCAATTACCTCTTTCACACTGCAAAACTTACGCCCTGAAACCACTTACTTTATATGCCTACGTGTTCACCACCGGTTACAATCTACAAAATTCGGCTTAACAGCCGCCCCCACGACATCTACTGTAACGACGACCAACCGCTCTCCCCTAAACTGGCATGTACGACAGCCCTCAACGCCCGTCTCTCCAGACCATTACGCCTACGAAGTGCGTTGCACCCAGGCGACCACACAAAACTGGCACCTCTCTGCCCTCATTGGGGGCATATTGGGGGTCGTGTTCGCCCTCGTGCTTGGCTTCTTGCTTCTCTTTGTGCTGAAACGCAACCAATGTCTGCCGAGCAGTTCCAGCGGTTTCGGCAAGCAAATGACACAAAGGTCACTACTTCGAAACTCCTACAGCCTAAGAGGGAGCTCTCATCGACGTGGCCGAAGATCAAGCACTAAACGTGGGAGCTTTCATAGCAGTCTTTGGCCAAGTCGTTCTTCCAATAGTCGTAGCGAATTTAGCGGCCATTTAAGAGAGGAAGATGAAGAAGAAGATGATGACGATGACGATGTGATCGCTGAAGACGATGAAGAAGATACAGAAATCGATACGGGTTGCAAGTCCTCAATGCGCTCACAAGCTGGAATATATGGAGGTTCTGGTGGCACCACAGGCAGTAGTAATCGACACAGTTCGATGAGTAGCTCCATAGATGCTCGAGAAGACTCCTCCTCTGTAGCTATGCCATATCTTCCAGTAAACGGCGTGCCATCTCGAACCGCCACAAGACGCTCTCGTGACATGAAGCACTCTTCTATGGGGTACGAAAACATGAAGAGCAGTTACGGTGTGAAGTTGAACGTAGTAACGCCCACTTCTGATGCAAGTGGCGCTAAGGAGAGTATTCGAAAGGTTTCCCTCACGCCTTTAACAAAATCAATTGATGCTGACGGACGAAAGTCAGAACAAGGTACAGTTTCACCGCCAGGGATACCAAATCTTCCCGATCCTCTGCGGAGTTCTTCAATAGCTACCCTTCGGTCGCCGCTTGTTATCTCCCCTTCGCCTCTGACGAAGTCTGCCCAATCATTCGGACTGGAAGGAAACAGCAGAGGTGAATGTCGAAGTCCAGTACCTTTACCTGGGGCGCAGCTTGTCGATCTGCAGACCCCAATGCTGATGGGTTTGGGGTGTAAGGATGACTACGCGTGGATTGAATCACCAAGAATAGAAGCCGCTTCACAACTCCTTCCAGAACTTCCCTATATTTTGTACGACGATGAGGGCGAAAGTGCTGCCAACTATGACCCCAATTATGAGTCGTCATTGAGTCTCACCGATGCCACTACTGGTAGCTCGAGTGAAAGTGTTGTTAGCAGCAATTATGACTATGAGGATTTTCCCTACTTTCCGCCGTCTGCAAAGTTTGATGCGTCAAAGCATCATAATCCAGACAGACAGGGCCCCTCGATTTACACAGAATTTATCGAGACAATATAGAAATTGTGGTACTGACATTCCAGTTTTTGTTTTGCTTCTCCACTAAGCTCCACGAGCTCATTGTCTTTTATACTTCGTAGTTTCACCGTATGATCTATTTGTAAGGTATGATATTTAGCACAAATACAGGCACAAGCTAGGTCTTCATCGTTATTTTTAAACGCTGTATAAATATTTTGTGTAAATACAAGAGAGTTTGCCGTTTACGCACTCCATTCACTGATTCAAATGTTGAAGTAAAGTGTGGCAATGAGGTGCTTTTGATGCAAAATTGCTGGAAAATTGGACAAGGAGGCTAGAATAACGGGGGTTTTCGCACGTCTGAGGTTTAAGAAAATATTTCCTACTTTTTTATTGAAATCTTAGCGCAGCAATAGCAGTCAGTAAAAGCTCAACGCTTTGAAAATAGTTACAAAAGTAATTTTAGTTTGGATGACACTTATTATTGGGCTTCGATTTCACGCGCTGCCTTGATTGTTGACAAGCCCGTAGTAATTGCTACAGACAGGTTGATATGAACAAAGAATGCTTACAGAGTGGTTAAAATTTTACTACGTTTCCAATAACTTTGATGAAGCACTCAACTGTCTTGTTACGTAAATGGGAATGGGTTTTTGTTTTTACGCAAGGCCAAACTTCTTCATTAATGTAGCTGAATGAAGCAGCGCTCACATCCTAATGTTGAAAGCCATGCCTCCTCAGCGAAGCAAGTGTTTCTTATCCAAATCCAGAGGGAAACGTTCCCACGCGGTACACTGCTTTGAGCTTAGCGGCTACGTCGTACTCTCTCCGAAAAGAATGGCGCTGGAACAAGACATTCACGCATTATGGACGAGCCTTTCCAAAAGTATCCGTAATGCTTTGTTTATGTGACCGCATGACATTTAACAGTCACTTTAGAATTTTCCTGGCCCCTGTGCACATAGGCTGGCCTTCGAGTCACGCTCAGGCCCCATTTGCCCTGTCGTCTTCAGAATACATGTATTCAACCTCACTTATGCCTTCTTCCATCCAATGGGAAGCCTCGGGACGCTACAGTATCCGTCAGTGATCCGCATAAGCGTGGAAAGCATTCGCGCTGAGTAGGAATTGAACCCCTCTAACTGCCTTCTTAGCAAAAGAGGGAAAGCAAATAAAAATTATCCTAAGTGAGAGGGCTAAAATCAAGTACAACTGTAATTAATCATGGGAACGCTGCAGAACTTCCTAATTGCGCTTTCGCTCAATGGCATGATACTTTTGAGGATTCGCAATCTAACAAAATTTGTGGATATCTGCACCATTATTATTCCCGCTTGCATAATTTATTAGGACTTCAGAAGAGCTGCGACCGCCTCAACCGACTTACTTTAAAAATATTCAAGCGTACAAATGGTAAAAGAAATGATGCGATATGACTGCATTCAAATATAAAAAGGCTTTATCGCTAAAAATTTCTTATAGCATACAAATGCATAAGCTATAAGCTTTGTATGCATAGTACTTTCAAATTGTTCGCATGCAGAAAGTAATAAGCTAGGTAGCTACCTGTCTTTCACACAAAATCTTACAAACTCAAGAATAGGTTTAATAGAACAGACGTCGAACTAAGTAGAAATCGCTTCAGTGCTTTGTTTATGTGACTACCTGACGTTTAACGGTCACTTTAGGGTTTGACTGGCCCCGTACACACGAGCTGACCTTTGGGCCGTGCTCAGGCCCATTTACCCTGCTGTCGTCAAAATACATGTATCTAGCTGAACTTACTGACTTCTTATACCGGCTAGGAAGTCTAGGGACGCTGCAATAGATTTCGGTATAATTGAAATCACTTATAATGGTTCTTACTATAATATATACTAGTTTGTTTAAGTGGGCTTTTATGGGCGAGAGGCGAAAAGGAATCGTGAACGGGGATCACGTGCAGGAACTCGGCGAGGAGCTCCCCTCTGATTGATATTCCCAACTCTGCTCATCTGTATCACATTTCCATCCTAACGTTTGGCGGTCACATTATGATTTGTCGGATCCTTGTACACGTGGGCTGGCCTTCGGGCCATGCTCAGGTTCAGTTGCTTTGCCCTATTTTGAATGCATGCATGCAGCTTCTCTTATTGCTTTCCTCTACCCTATGGGAAGTCTCGGGACGCTAGAGTCATCTCCGAGAGTGGTAAGGAGAACTCCGATATGGAACTTTTCCGCGTGGTCCGCAGCTGTGTAGCCAGACTCCGACATCATTCTCCATCCATCTGTTGTAAAGAGCTTAGACAACATCTCCCTCGGGTTATAACGCATCGTTGCACTGCAGAAACCTGTCACAAAGAGTGAACACCAGAGTCAAAGTCGCAATAAGTCGAATTTGCTTTCCGCTTCACAAATGTGGCATCTCGAGGCTTTCAACTAGGAAGGACTAAAAACGTGAATTTTGGGAGAAGAAGGGATCAGGTTCTGTCCTGACCCAAGTGTCAGTTTACGTAGATTAGAGCAAGATAAACATTAACGCAACTAATGGCCATACAGGTGGTCACTTAATCAAAGTATTACAATACCTGTTGTTAATCGCGCATTTAAGGAATTACACTCAATCTGTATTTGTCGGCATCTAACAATAAACTCCTTGACCCAATTTAAATTTACGATGTGATATTATAGGTAAATTCGAACAAATTGTTAACAAATTAGCAGAGCAGTGATGGTCATCAAAGTGAATACTAATCTTTTTGTCGAGCCTCAAAGATACCCGCAAAGTTTAATAGGGCTACCAAACTAGCCTGCGATTGTGCTGTGCGATAATGTCGTATGAGTAAGTTGCATCTGTCCCAATTCAACGTTACCAAAACCTCTTATAATGCCTTGAAATGCTTGTATTTCGCTTCTTTTATTGATAGAGGCATTCTGAATGTCTCGATTTTGTTCCTCAAGTAAACATACTGAAAAACTGGTTCTTTGGCGTCCAAATCCTTTTTGGTCATTAATATAAACTCTCAACAATTCCCACAGATTCGAATCTACATCTCCAAACACGAGCTTTGGTGACGAGTCATCGTTCCAATCACCCGCATCAAACATTGGCGGTGAGGCTGAGATGAAGTTGGCGCTTCAACAGCTTCAGACCCAAGCTGAGTTCCAAAACCAAGTTTCTCTTCTGACTAGTCGCTGTTGGCACCTTTGCTATACCGGTGCTCCTGGGGCCAAACTTGACGATAAGCGAGCAAACTGTCTCAAAAACTGTGCAGAGCGCTACATCGACGTTTCAGTGTTTCTCCGCAACCGGCTTCAACAATTGATTGCACGGTCCCAACAACAGTAGACGTGTATCTGGACCTTTAGCACGTCTGTAGATATTCTGAATAATAATTAAGTCAGGAATTCTTGGTAAATAAGAACCTCGCACGTACACTCACGCCCTGTGCAAGGGGGCAGCTAATTCAGAGCAATTTCAAAACTGGAGACCTTTTTGGTGTTTGACATTTAGCTCGATTAGCTCCCAAATTAGTGCAGGCTGTTAAACAAAAGATTGCTGTTTCTCAGAATATGTATTTTGTAGTAGGATTAATCACAACACGAACAGGGATGGGAATGGAGATGATTGTGGGCTCAATTTAAATAACAAGATTGACCACATCCATTCGAAGCAACGTCTTCTGAATGCAGACACTCAGGGAAAAGGACAACACGATTAGCACGCAAGTGCCACGCTTTTGTATCTGCACGGAAAGTGAGGGGAAAATCACTAAGATCAACTGACAGCAGCTAAGTCACACGAGGATGGAGTCGTCGCGAGGGCGTCAGGAGGGAAGGCAAAGAGCATGGAGGCTGACAGCGAGCGTGTCGGACCAAAGCCACCTGATTCGTTTCGTTTACGAACGTTAAGCGTTACAAAATGCGAGATGCGATTGTTGTATTATACTGGATGTCGATCGGCAGGATTGTTGCAATAGCACGTTTATCTCAACTCTGTGAGTAGAATAGAACAGATACACTCGGAGACCGATGCCTTTGTGCTTCTGACGGTTACCCGGAAGTTCTGCCGCAAATAAAGACTTGATTATTTCCAATAGTAGTTATAGTTAGCAGTGAAAACTTGGTTTGCATTAAGAATCAGGTAGGTGATACAAAAGTCGATGTCACCAAAAATCGACGTTTAATGGTGACCACTAGGTGAAGGGGAGCGACAAAACAATGGCGTAGCAAAACTTACGTTGGATTCTATCCGAGCGAGAACGCCGACCTGCTGGCTGGCTGTGTGAACGATCCCTGCGCACACAATGTTGGTTGGACAGGGATCTATGTCTGGTAGAATGTTCAGACCTGACCCCGAAATCTAGATAATTCAATGTAGTTATCCTGTAACTTCGGAAGTTAATTGCACTGAAATTAACGCTAATCAAATAAAAGAAGGTTACACTAAAGAAAAAACGACTAAAAGGTACGGTAAAATAAATTGTGACGCACTCGTTGCTTGATGTCCTCCAAGTTGAAGGATAGCTTAGCTCCTGCAACCCTTTGACACTCCTGACCGGGCCTGAAATAGAGCAAGGCCAACGACGCTTTAAGAATAAGGATGTCAATATTACAGAAAAAAATTGTCAACTGGGTAGAATCCTATCAAAAAGTGGTGTGGCCAAAGTTAAACTGTGTGATGGATGGTTAAGGTGGTAGCTAGGGATTGGGTGGTGTGCAAAAAGATACTTGATAGTTGCGAAATAGCTAGTCATTTTTCAAACCAGAATTCTTATAAATTTGATCGGCAAAAGCAATCAAACGCAATAAAGCCCCTAATACTCACTGGCAAAGAAGCTTCCATCGGGCAAAAAACGTCGGCTGATCCATTGGTGCCGACTGAGTAAACTTATTGAGGAAAATTGGTAGCGGAAACGACAGTTGAGTTGAACCATTGTGGTTCCTGAAAAAGACAAAGCAACGGTTGGGAAAGCCTAAGAACAATTTGTGTTATTTCTGTAACGTAAGCACAAGTTGATCAATGGAAATCATGTAGGAAGGAGGCTTTAACGATAAGCAGAAAGGCTAGGAGATATAGGGCAACCTCACTTTGGTGCAGAAGGAAAAGAACGGGCTATGACTAACGAATAAGTGACGTTCAAGACGGGTATCTCAGCAAAGTCGACGAGACACTCGATGTTGAGGATCTGCGGAACCTGCTTCTCAGGTTCAATGGTAGTGGGCGCAGGACGAAGGTCAAGGTTGAGAGGACTTCTGCCTGTGGTTAGGCATATCTCTGAGAACACCAATTTTGAAGAAAAAGACGTGATTGGAGACCCACTCTTGTTGCCGTAGAAGAGCTGAACTCTGCCCAAGTTGGCCTGGAATTCGGATCTATAGCCAATCTGTATGAGAGCGTCCTCGTACAGCACACCCTGTGGCCTATAGATTAGCCTTAAAGTAAAAGAAGTGTTAGTCTGTTAGAAATGATGTGCCTAGCAAAAAATCCGGTTCTGCAGCTGACCTGATGTATTCTGAGTCAAGGTCCATGAGAGTCGTTGGGCTACTCTGAGGCTTAGAGAGGGCCAAGGCGTTGGAGCCGGCCTCTGTTGTACCGTTGCCAAGGATATCCGCCAAGAACTGATTATTAGCACCTGCGGACGGCGCCTTCGAAGTTTCCGCAGTTGTGGTTGGGGGAGCGGTGGTAGTCAGCCCGAGGCCCAACAAATCCGCCTCTGCAGTGCCGTTGGTGCCAGGAGTCTAGAGAAGAACAACGTGGACAATTGCGAGCATTAACAAGTGAATTCGTCCAAAAAAGAGGCACTATGTAAATATGCATCTTATTGACGAGTTAATATTAATGAGTAAAGCTTGAAGGCACTATACCAATAAAACAAGATTCCAAATCATTTCTAGATGGAGCCAAGTAAACATGGTGTTGCACCCTCATTATGCTATTTTCCGAATCTTTTGGCAGCACTTTCAAGCGATTGCTGACAACATCGAATATAATGAGGAAATGATGAAGCCTTGAAGTTTTTACGCATTCCAATGACTCGATTATTAAACAGGGATAGTTGATTGCGGTTAAAGTGATTAAATTCATCCACAAAATGAATGAGGACTCCCGCTGGAGAACTAAGTTGTTGAACGCTCCCAAGCACACATGAACACAAAATTTAGGTAAACGGAATATTTCTTCCATAAATTTACTGAAGACAAGCTGTCCACATATCCATGTTATTGAGCATACCTTTGCATAACTCTTACTTCAAAACTATATGCTACCATAAACAGCTATTTTAAAACCAAACATTTCGAATTTGTAAAACGGCGAAATCTCCAAATTATCACACCCAGGAGTATGGAGGCAATATAAGGAGTTGAGGCTGAGAACCCCATCCTTTCCACTCCTATTCGGGAGTAGAAACGAGGACTATAGCTGCTGCCTGCGCCTGATTCACATCCCAGTCGACCAATGGGAAAGCGCACTAAATACCCTCGTACAAACGCTATAGGCGAACAGCGAAAGAAAATACTCTGCAGTAAACTTACCAGTGATGCTTTCTCTGCATCGTTTGCAGAGGTGGTTTTCTGCTGATTTCGCTCACCAGTCTTCGCTGTCGAGGGGAGGCTATCGGATTCCGGCTTCTTGGCCTTTAGCTTGGCCAGAATACTCGATTCTCGCTCGGGGAATGGAGGCATCTCCTCTAATACCGTGGCCTAAAGACATCAAAACTAGTTCCTGACCTTACGAAAAAGTTGATTGGTAGGTAATCAATGTTGAAAAGCTTTTCGTGCTTTTGCGTACAAAGGTCCGAAGAGGCTCAACATGCAAAGCCCACAAAAATTCCAATGACAACTCCACTGAGTGCTTTCAGACCGCTGTCAATTTCACAGAAGTGACACCAATGGCAAGGATTGAGTAGACAGAATCAAATGTCGATACAAATACACACTACGAACTACATTAAAAAGCGCAAACATTGGGACTTATGTGCAGTCGGAATAGTTTTACGCAAAGAATGTCAGTAGAAAAGGATTCTTTAAAACATATCCTTTCGCGAAGTGGTACATTATACTGAGACACATTGACTGTCATTCATTCCTGAATGTACACAACTGTTGATTAAGGAGCAGTAATCATAGTAAAGCTGTTAACTAACCAGAATGTCTTCAGTTACAACCTTTGAGAGAGCCAAATACTCAACAGATCGTTGCTGAATCTCGACATTGGAACTGCGATAGTTGCTGTCCTGCGAAAGTACCTCAACTATCGTCTCTCTCAGTTCAGGGAAGAGATTTATGAACTTCACGTAGGTTGAGAGAAGAAGCTGGCGTGTCGTAGGTGTACATAAATGATACTTACTATGGATGAGCTCGAACTGCATCTTTGGTCTAAAAAGCCAGAACATTTATTAACAGTACTTGGAACCGTTCTAAAGGGGACATTTATAAGGAAGTGGGCTCCAATCATTACGTAAGTGTTCCATTTCAAAGCTACATTGTTTCGAACCGGTTAGGTACTAGCGTTAGCTAAACCAATATGTTATGAGGAAATGGACGTACGAAGAACGCGCATCACCAGCAATCAAGTTCCCAAATTCGCCAAGAATGTAGCCTCCAACTTTAACCATATTTTCATGACAAGCAGGAGCTGTTAGAGCCTAAAAACAATGAAGAACATACGGAGTACCAAATTCAGTGAAGCGACAAATTAAAGAGAAAGTGTCCTCCAGTGGTTATGCTGCATCCTGCCACCACCGCGACTGCGCAATAAGGCATTAATTGGGCAGGAATCGTTCAGAAAAAAAACACGAAGATACTGAAGGTGGCGACTGCACCCTCCATGCATGCCTGAGTAATCACAAATAGAACAGCAGAGATGGTGTGAAAGGAGTGAAATAGGAAAGAGAAATGAATGACTTACGTCAAAAACAGTCTTTGCAGCATAGGCTTGTACATCTTCCCGGTTGACCACAATCTGAACGACGCGATGCCAGACCTCATCACTAACGTAGTCGCCGGCTACGCGGATGAGCATGAGGATAGTATCCACATACCACGAGTAGTCGATAGCGTACTTTTCCGCCAATATGGCTACTTTTAGGACCATCTCCTCACGAATGGAGTAGTCTGCGGTTTCTAGGTATGATAGCATCTCACCCACAATGGCTTGGGCGTTCGACCGGTCACACATCGCATAAAGGAGATCAGCTGCACGCTGCCGCACTGACACATCCCGCTCCGTCTAATGGACATAAGTGGGTGATGGTAATGGCATCGAGGAACATTGACACAACTTTTACAATAGTTTCCTTTTACCATAGATAAATCCTAGTAATAGTAAGCGAAAGCGATTTAAGTTTTCTGAACAATGAGATGGTAGAGCCAAACTGTGCTTTCGGTGTGCCAACAAAGCAAAACCTGGCGGCAATACGCCATTTAAAAAAATGGAAATAACGTAGCGATTAATAAACCTAAAAGCAAATGATCAATAGAACGAAAAGTTCGTAATTGCAGAAAATAGGATTCATTTAGGTTCAAAAAGTGAAATTAAATGGTAACCTTGCTTAGCTACGAAACACAAGGGGTCACAAATTACTACAATCAACTGAGACTTAAGAAGTGAGCACAATTCACTTCAACCGCTGAAAGGTAATAATTGCACAAGACCAAAGAAGGCATTCATTTTGATAAACAAGTTAATACTGACACTACCAATTAATATTTTAATCAGCGAATTGTTAGATTATCGGAAAAGTATAAATGAAGCCCAGTGTCAAGGAAAAGCAGTCTTCACTATACCTTAAGAGCGCTGACAATGGTTTCCTGGTGTTTCTTAACGGCCTCATGACTGAATTCGCTGGTAGCCAGAAGACAAAGTGACTCAAGAGCTAAGTATCGGAGGTTGGTCTCCTTGTGTTGAAGAAACTGGCCTAGTTGGTTGCAAGCACGAACCAGCAACTTTCGATCACAGTCCATATGAATGATAAGATTGATAGCTTCGAAAAGAACCGCATTCTTCGCATTGGGATGCTGAACCTTCTTTGACTTTGGCGGCTCCTGTACCTTCTTTAGAATAGTGTCCAAACAATCAGTCAGCCGACAGCGTACCGTCGTATCCTCTAAAAAGCGATATATAATACTTAGATTATTAAGTAATAGATTCCCCTTTTAATGAGCTGTAACCGGTGGGTCAAGAATAAAGTTTCTTCAAAGTTTACATATGCTAAAAGCATAATTTGAACAAGAAAACAATGCAGAAAGATGAGCGCTAAAGTAAATATTGTCAGAATCAATGTTATAACACGTAACTAAAGGATGAAATTGAGGAAGTTAAACATCCTATAAAGTCGTGACCTCCTTTAAGTGTTGGGAGACACACGGGTTGTAATGTTTTGTTTAGTTCAAATAATAACAGGACAAGATGATGTAAACATGATACAACCAAATCACTGTTTACATGCCAGCCACACTTGCACCAACGGGACCTATCAGGGGCCTCTACTAGAGAAACACCTGAACAAAGAATTAACGCCCGCTACGAGGGAACGGAACAAATGATTAGAAGCACATAAAAATGACTATCGGGAACGTACCAGGTGGAGGGTAGTTTTGCAAAAGTCTTAGAAGCTTCACAGAAAGCCAGGGTGCGGTGACAAAGTAATAAGTGTAGTCTTGGAGGTCTGTATACGAGGATGTGATCAACTGAACGGGAAAAACAAGAGCGATTCAGTAAACTTAACTCCAAGCCATGAAAAAGTAAGCGTACGCTGGATAAAGTGAAGGCCAGTTCATACACAAGCATTCGAACGTCCAACCTATGCGTATCTGTCAATGAACTACTGTTGGTGGAGCATAAACATCAGAAAACAATCTGCGATCCAAGAAACATGTTCACGGAAAGCAATGTAAAAGCACTGGTTATCCAAGGGAAAAGTAAGAGTTTAAAGGTTGACAGTTTGAAAATACAAAGCTAAGATGGAATGCATAGTAATGACGATGGGGAGACAAGTAATCCAAAATTATGGCTAGTAGTAAAGAAATAATAGAGAAGTAGACATGATAGGAATACTTATGGCTGTTGTACTAAAGACACGGTGGCAAATTCCAATAGAATAAGTTTATGGGAACAGAAATAATTAAAATGACGTGCAATTCCAGTTAAAGTTAGCAACTTACTCTTCCCAAACGAGCAACGGCAAGGGGAACACAGCTTTTGCATTCCTCTGGGTTCCTCTTGATAAGTTCCTCAATGAGACTGACTGCTGATGTCACAACGCCCTGTGATTCCGAAGAAGCAATTAGTAACCAGAAGAAAAATTTTGATAGCTAATACAAATCAAAAGAACACACAAGGTGTGGGTCATTCAGTAAGTGGATTGCCCGAGGTGTCCAATCCAAGTCTACCATTTGATCGGGAGCAACACGTAAAAGGCGCAGAAGACACAAAGCAGCATTCTGCTTAATGGAATCAGATGTTTCTCTAAAAGTCGCATTAGGAAAGGTGGATAGTAACAAGTACCCAGAAACGAGGAGCTTGGGAATCTCCGAGCCGAATTGTTCGGCCATCTCGCGATTCCCAATATTAGCCACACATTGAAGTGCAAGATTGACAAAAGCCGCGCTGCGGCTGGACATGTCATCACGAATGCGACTGATCACCAGATTCATCAACGGGTGGTTGTCGTTCAAAAGAACTGATATAAATAAATACCCCTAGGACCGTCATGGTAACTATAGAACAAACTTACTATCTGTTTCTCCGTATAACGATTGGAACAAAGTAGATTAACGGCTTCAGTATAGCCAAAATCAATATCATGACCCAAAAGAAAAATGAAAAGGAGTTTGCAGACGTATTTCTTTTTATGGTATCCATCAAGCATTTTGTCTCCTGAAAAGAAATCAGTAGCCAACTAGATGCAATGGACTAAAGTATTAAGAGGTAGTTACTAACTAAAAACTATAAAATGTTCAAAACCACCCATAATGCTGCGTAGAGCAACACATTCCCTAAAGAAATACAGATGAAAACTAAAAACTTACTACTTAGAAAGACCAAAGCATTATGAATTAGTGCTGCGGTGGTAGCGAGTAAAGTAAAAAAACAAAAAAAGTATGTTAAACGTAAACCCCACACATTACCGATTCAATAATTAGAAAGTGTTTCACGCAAACAAGAGAATGGAAAAATACTGAACAAGTGTGCGCGTTAAATGAACAAGAGTAAAAACTTTAAATCATGCCTTTGAATTTGGATCTTATGTTTGCCAACTCCTTATTTATTCGCTTGATTTCCGCCTCCTTGCTTTTGCAATTCCTAATGTCGGAAATAAACACAGACAGGCCACGCATTGAATCCCCCTTCGGCGCAGGCATCTTTGAAGGACGATTCAAGAACGGCGGGCCTTAAATAGCCCATTGCAAGCGCTGTCAAAACCTTGCAAGAGAAGTATATCACAGGAATAATTTCCAACGCAAACCAACCTAATGTGTGGTCAGTTCAGAGATTAAGTATCAAAAGCGATTTCGCATCGACCGGGGTAAACAACTTATCAGAAAGCAAATCGCATGCATTTTCATAATTAAAATTTTTTTGCAACCTATTTCAAAATCTGAATTTTATAAACTCTTTGGATACTGGCAGAACGTGAGCATTTGCTTGATGCTATGGAATGGGACAGGATACAATACTTTGTTTATGTGACCACCTGATATCTAGCTGTGAATGTACACCTGTCTCCCTCCTGTGCGCGCGGTCTGGCATTTAGTCCAAGTTGGGGTCTAATTCCTCCTTTGCCCCGGCAATATATGTATTCAGCTTATCCGCTGTTCATGGTATAAATCTGCCGCCCAATGGAAGCTCATGTGCGCGAGGGGACTAAATTCGTTTTAACAGAAGGATTCGCATAATGTTTTACGTTTATCCTTGCCTTGTCTCAGTGTTTCATCATAAATATTCAGGAGATTGTGTCTGAAATCCTACTACATCCTCATATGTGTGTCGAGACTGATACTATTTCGGACTCCTTACATATGGCGCTGTCTAGTCACGTTTACCCTTTTAAGTATCTGTCTTCGGCTAGTGCTGCAGATTCTAGTCGCGGATGTAATTATCGGTCAGAAAATGTGGCCATCTCTGGTCCCAGATATCAGACCGAATGCTACTCCAGATCCAGTTGAAGCTGGTGAGGAGATAAAGTTGGCTCGTGAGTGCTTTACTTGTGTCATCAGATATTTTGTGGTGGTTAGTGTACCACTTCGATTGTGTGACTACCTGATCTGACGGTCTTCGTCATTCATTTAGTTTTTGTATGCATGGCTGGCTTTCGTGCCAATCTTAGACTCGATCCTATTTCCTTTTTCACAGGCATGTATTTGCCTCTTTATACTGCCTTCTTTTACTAGGTAGGAAGACTTGGACTGCTGTAACTGAACCTGTGTCTAAGATTACTTGAGAGTTCTATTTAATTTCGTACTTAAGAGTCCGACTTCGAGTCGAGTCAGGATTAGCTGGTTCCATAATGTCGCATAACGCACGTAATCAGCCAAATTCGATGTCTTTCTCTGTTTTATAAAAGTCTAGGTGTGTTGCACTGAATATATGTATCATCAATCTATACCATCTCTGCTGCTTCTCCCTGGCGTGATCCATCGCCACTTTCTCAATTTTTTGATTATGAAGAAAAATGTTACGGACTGTTAATAAGTAGAAATACTGTCATGCTTGATAGTTTTAATTTGTTCGCAAATTTTCGCATGCAAAAAAAATTGCATGTTCTTGTAAGACCACATGTTAATATTTTGTTTAACTCTATCAACTTGATTTATCGAATAAGTTATCGCACACTCACGCTATTTGCTTTGGACTCGTCGGGTCCGTTGGATGTTTAGGTTGTGTGGGTGTGTTTCTACATTTCACAGTGAAGAAGGAGGGCGTATATTTGAAGTTATTTCATTCTTCGTTTGGTTCTTTGCGCATTTAGTGCATTTGTTTCGTAATTAGCTAACTTCATGAGTTAACGATTTCGATAATTGTATGAACTGATTCTTGGTGCCGCAGCTCATCATTATTTAACATTTTGATGCGTCTTTGTTCATTAATATTGTATATCTTTTGTTTTTGAATTGCTTTTGTTTGCCGTTTCTGCGTCTAATCTTGAGTTGCTTCCTCTCCAGCTATTATTCGCGCATTTGTTTTATCCTTTTTAGTTCGTGACAAGGTCGGTTTTTCATTAGAAACGATTGTTTTTGGTTTTCCATAAAAGTAGCTAGTTTTTAAGCCCTTCGTAACTGTCGCGCATTCGTATTTTCGATAGTTATTCATAGCCTTTTGCTATCATTATCGTTGTTTTGAATTTTTCAATTACGATCTTTAACGGAGTCCGATTGGTTGGTAACTTTTACCATTAGTCGCACGCCTTTGATATGCAGCTGGACTCTTACAACTTAACATTTACTCCAGTTCCTTGGTGGTTCTTTCTCCAGTTGCCATTGCAGTTAGCCAGCGAAATTGGCACACCTATATCTTACAAATTTCTTTTTAGTTCGTGATATAATTGACCGCTTGGGTTGCTCAAATATAGCCACTTTTTTAATGACAGACAAGGCACGTAGTCTGTCGGGACATCAATTTCAATGGATTTTTGAATGAGGGCATCGGCAATGAAATCACAAAAGTTCGACTCTACGGGTTCATTTTGCATAGATTCCAGAAGATTGGAGTCACTTTCTTCTCGGTCCTTTTGTGTAAGAAAATTTACTGTGTGGATTAAGAATGGCATCATTGTAACTACCACTATCCATTGGTGATTCATAACCAGTCCTTTAGGTTTTAATGTGGAATATAATGCTTCTAACTCTGGATGAATCGGAGTCAGTTTTAGTTAATTATATTCACTTACGGTTTTGTCGATGCATGTACCGCGAATTTCGACTTAAAGTTAACATTGTTTCATAATCTTATCGAAAATCAAAAACCCTGTGGTTCTTGATAATCATTGCTTATGCACTGATCTCTACGGTGTCACAGTCAAATGTTGCGTTCATTTTATCCTTATTACGTCGTGTCTGAAGCTCACGTGTATATCGACGTCCAACGGTGTTTATTCCATAAACTCATTTTCTCCTCCCATATGCAGAATACGCGGGGGATGAGAATGTATTGTTTTATGCTTCTATTAAATTCATGTAGTGTTTGAGACACTGTCACCTTTTAAGCTACGAACCTTTTTTTCTTTTACATTTATTTGTCGAATTAGAAGTGTCCGCCTTAGCATTGTACTGCAAACATGCATAACGCCTACATGAGTGCTGCTTCAACAGACCACGAATTTGGTTACGGTTGTGTACTAGGAAGCTTATTTTTCACAGTACTTGTTTTCTTTGCTTTAAACCGACAAAAATGCATTGCATAGGTTTAAACTAATACAGAAATGGACTAACTACAATTTGGTTTCGCTTACTTTTTAAAGTAGGATAGAAACTCTCAAACTAGATTCTTCACGTAAACCTAAAGGCTATCCCATTGGATTTACCGGGCGACCCTGTATTTTACGGAAACCATTATAAATTCATTGCGATTAAGAGCGAATGAATGGGAAGCTTTAGATTCTGTGAATTGCTTGATGTGGTGCAGTGCCAAAGGAGTCCTAAAAACACCTAGCATCGAGGTATGAAAGGACTGGGAGAATATTTGCATAGGTAGCATGAGCAAGACTACACGTTACTCGTGTAAGTTCTAAATCAGAGGAAAATTGAAGAATACGCATTGTCAAACAAGTGATTGGAGCCAATCCTGGTTTCATAAAGTTGTACTTGACGCTATCTATAAGCTTTCTCGAGATGCAACAATCGCCCGCAATGATAATTGGGTTGTTCGGTGGATAGGAGACATCGTCTACTGGCGAAGGTACCGGCAATTCTTTTCTATGGAGAGCATCTAGTCCGGAAGATCTGCCTTTAGAGGCGGTTATGCAGATCGCCACTTCACGGTTGCTCAATCGTAAAGTCGTAGCTGCGATGACTGGTCCTGACAGTGGGTTCCAGGCTGCTCGGAAATGGAAGGACAAGAGCACATCGAAGACTCTTGTTTGCGGAACTCATGGTGGGTCCCAGGCACGTCAACTTTTTGGCTTTGGTAACTAAAAGTGGTTCCGGAATATAATTAACTTTCACACTTGTCTTTACCATTTGATAATGCATCTGCTTTTAATCCCGGATCGATGGTCATCGAGTTCTTGCACAAGCTCTGTTGGTCTTTCTAGTCTAAAAAAGACACTTGTGCGTAGTGTTATTCAGACGTTAGTGGATAATAGCAACTATCGTAAATCTAATGGCGTGCTATCCTCCTTATTGTCTTTTTATTTATTTTTAAATCTAGCGTTTGGTCTGATAATGACCGGTTTTATCAAAAGTATTATTCAATCATCCTATCAGCTCTGTATGTACTAAGCGACCATCGTGTCATGTCTTGATAGAAAGTAGTTGGTGCGCTGTGAGCGTCCGTTTTTTATTCTCGTTAAACTCAAATCTCAAGAAACCGCTTAAGGAGAAGAAGAAGGAATCTGCTTTAACCCCAAAGTTGGTCTTTAAATTCCTCTAGTGTAAGAGGTTTCGTGGAATTCTATCATAGATTTACCCCTAGATACACGGAAACTATAATAGATTTACGGTTATGAATATAATTTTTCACTTGTTCCTCCGGATTGGCACCTAAGTGGCTCTCTCGGAAAAGGTTTAGTAGAAAGTTTCAATGTTGTACTGGTTTCAGACCTATAGGTATTGTTCACAGCATTGGTGTTAAGCGAAATATGAAATCTAGAAACTCATCGTTTTTTGGTAAAATGAGCTCTATTAAATCAGCCATTGAAATGAGGGTTAGATTGGTTAT